CGGCCCTCCGCGTCCGGCGGCGGGGGCCGCGGCGGGCGCGGCCGCCACCCCAGCCACCTCAAGGGCCGCGAGATCGGGCTGTGGTACGCGCGCAAGCAGGGCCAGAAGAGCAAGGAGAACGACCGGCAGCAGGTGCGGGCCGCGCGCGGCACGGGCGGCCATAACGGCAGTAACGGCAGTAACGGCGCCGCTTCCCCCTGTGTCCGCAGAGAGCCGTGGTGCGCATGGACGAGCGCAGGGAGGAGCAGATCGTGCAGCTGCTGAGCAGCGTGCAGGCCAGAGGCGAGCGGGAGCAGGAGGCCATGTCCTGGTGGTCTGGGGACGAGGACGGGTGAGAGCGGCCGCGGGACACGGGCGCCTCGAGCCGCTCGCGGGCCGAGCAGCAGGTTGGCCCGGGTGAAGGGTCCCCGTGGGGCTCCCTGGCCCGTGCGGCGGCCCTGGTTCCGACAGCAGCGTGAGCAGTGCCTTCCTGGAGGTGCTCGGGGCCTTGTTACCATGAGGCCTTGTGGCAGGAGGTGCTTGATGACGGTAACTTCCCACTCCCCTTGTGCTGAGGGGGTGCCCGCGTTCCCGCGCAGCGTTTGGGTGTGATGCCGGAGGAGCCGTGGCAGGTTTGCCTCGCGCCCCTTGCGCTGCTCCGCGCGCGCGCTGACGTGTTTGTGCTCCCCGTTCGCCTCAGAAACGCTCCCGAGGAGCCTGCCAAAGTGAGACCAGCCGCGGAGAGAGCGCCTGTGAAGCAGAGAGCAGTGTTGGAGAAAACATACCTTGATCGAGATGCTGAGTACCTCCTCGAGAAAAATGATCAAGACGCTGGCTTAGATGAGCAGCTTAAGGAAGAGTTAAGACAGAAGAAGTCCGATCCAAGATATATTGAAATGCAGGTACGGATCTAAAACTAAAGGAGTGGTTTCTACAGAGACCGTTCTCCATCTTTAAAAATTCATGTTGTTCAAATGGTGGTAAACTTACTGAATCAAACTTGCTTTTGTTTTCATCTGAAGTAAGTTTTCTGTTCAATGCCTTTGTCTTGTAAATGTAATAGTGTAAATGTATACCTTTCCATGTACTCACTTGCCTTTTTTCCCTCCCCCCCCCAAATGTAATGAAATTGAAAGCATGTTGGAATTAAATTTATTTCTAGTGGGGCTTTTTTTACATGGGTGTTAGTTGAACAACTTAGTCGTATTTTTTTCTTAGTTTAGTCTAGATGAAATTGGTTATATTAATTTAGTGTTGGAAAGGCTTTTACAGATGCTTCTTTTTTCATGCTTTTTTTTTTTTTCTTTCAATCCTAGAGATTCCGAGAGAAACTTCCTTCTTATGGAATGAGAAAGGTAAATATGTTTTCATATTGTAATAATATGTATCCTTGCTGTAAAACGAGAGATTTTTGTATATGTCATTGGAATAAACAGAATATGCAAATGTAGAACAGGAAACTTCTGTGCTGAAGTTTCTCAAGGTCTGCAACACTGCGTTGGTGGTGGTGGTGCTGATGGTGCTTTTTTTGTTTTTTGTTTTTTCCCACCACGTAGCTCAAATTTATTGCTTCAAGATACGTAGAAACCTAATCTAACCTCGTACATCTTTATCAGTAGGGATGACAATATTCTTAAATATGGTTCTGAATGTTAGATGCTTTTTAAGTTATTTCTGATATAACACTTTTTTTTTCTTATTTCCCTGCAATGTTAATAAAAAGAATTTGAATATTTGTCTTTTAAATGCCGTGACAATTTCTCTGAAGTTCTCATCACTGTAGAAAATATTTACAAATATTTTCTTTCTGTTTGGAAACAGGAGCTTGTAAACCTGATAAACAATAATCGGGTAACTGTGATTAGTGGTGAGACGGGCTGTGGCAAGACTACTCAAGTTACTCAGTTCATCTTGGATGATTACATTGAGCGAGGGGTCGGCTCGACATGCAGGATTGTGTGTACTCAGCCCAGGAGGATCAGCGCCATCTCTGTAAGTGCTGTTTTAACAGGCTAAGCCCCTTCATTGCTTATGTATTTGTGTGATGTGTGATTTGTTTGTTTTGGGGTGTATGTTTTCATGGGATTTTTTTGTTGTTGTCTGGTTTGTTTGTTTAATAGTTTTTGGGAAAGGGAACTAGAAAAATACTACCTCAAAATTGCATTATTATTAGTCTGGCCTAAATTTCCTCGGACACTCTTTGGACTGAGGGTACAATCTGCTGGATTCCTTGAAGGTGGGAAAGGCTGAAAAGAACTCAAAC